GAAGGTTGGATATATCATTCTTGTGGAAAAAGCAAAATATTCGTAATAACTTCAACATGCATCGATTATCAAATAATCGACACCTCAAAAACTTCCTACTACCAAGTTTCGTTTAATTAAGTTCAGTATTTCAAAAGTTATTTGAAAAAAACGAAAATAAAAAAAACTTCAACATCCTGTATCTTGAGAACGAAGTGTTTCCAGAAATTTATTTATTTGGACAATTCATATTAGAATATTGTGAAGAATCACCTCCTGAAGTTTGTCAAAGTACTTTTCAATCACCCTGTATGTTCTGCTTTTTCATCGTTAATGAGGTAGTCGGATAGTCAAGGTGCAAGATTCCTACTTTGATGCCCGCGACAACCTTCCCATATGGGGGTTTTTGCACGTCAGCTACACCTGACGATGCCTTAGATCCAACCGTGCAGGGTTTTTTGCCTCTAGTTTTGGTGAATCATCACTTGAACGCAAACGTTTGCTAACCTGCTCATGGGGGGTTTATTCCTCCACCTGGGACAGATTCTGCGTACGCCGCTCAAGAATTTGGTGCAAGGCGGTATCATAAGTTACCACGCTCTTGAGGAGACGACTCAGTCGTTTCCTGACTGCACCACCAATCAGTTCGAGTCGTAAGCTAGACATTAATCTCTTCTGTAGACTCGCCCTGATCTAATTTTACAGGCAGGTCAGTTGGAGTCGTAATCCCGACATCCATCTCCTCTGTAGACTCAGCGTCAGAAAGAATTTTAAGTTTACTCTGTCCATAAAAGTCCCACGAGTAGCTAGAGAAAGAAGGTCAATCATGGCAGAGCCCCGCATTACCGTGACAAGGCGATGCTACGACAAGAGAGCGCCCGGTATCTCGAAGGTTCCGTAGAGAAACCTGATAGGCTCAGTGTCATTCATCCTTTCGGCAAAGATACACACACCTTAGGATTAAGCTATCGTTGGGATACCATTCAGTTAGAGAGTAACAGAACCACAAGTGATTCTGTCATTTCCGTGTCCAGCGGGGCTACGTGGAAGCAGGCATCCGATGGCCGGTTTGCTCAATCCCCACAGCATGCACAATGGTTCAGGCAGTGAAAGATGAACAAGGACAGCCAACCTGCCAGCACTTCAGTAAATAAGTTTCTGTTTCCAAGTGTGATTATATAACTACTCTGATCTGGCTCTTTACTTTTCCTCCACATGAAGGTCTTCATTTTTTTGAGGATGAGAGAAGNGTTGCATAATATACTATTATTGGACCAGAATCTGACATTGGTATCACTTTACGTTCACCTGACTGCAAGTTTCAGGCCGCAGACAAAATCTACCAATTTAATTATTTTCGAAGCATTCATAAATCATTCGAAGAATATCACCAAACAATCAGAATACAGTAGGGTTGTTCTTCGTTATTCAACAGATCTATTTGGAAGGTGGTTAAATAGCAGAATACGTAATTTGTGTCTGTCCCGACACGGCATCAGATTTTCAATGTTTGGCAGAGTTTCACTATCGTCATCGGATCTGAAAGATAATCCACCAAACATTTTTATATATTTGCTGAAATTCAAAATGATGTAAACCTCAAATAACCGATGCAGATTGAAGTGGAGAGTCAAATAGAACCACAAACTTTCAACTCAACTTAACCTAACAAACCAAGGGTACTTTGAACTTTGATAATCAACCAAGGGTTGATTATCAAAGTTCAAATTGTGATCTGATCGGAAACCAGTTTGTTTTATATCACATAATAATATAAATACATGATCCGCTACCATGAGAAAGCTTTTCACAGGTCGAGTGGGCAGAAGTCGAAAACATGGCCTACCTGATGTAGCTCTTCTCAACTATCAGAGCAAGACTAATGGTGAGACGAATATGGTTTGAGAAGAGAACGAAAAATGGAAAAAATATGGAGGGTTTCTTTTTGAACTCCACAGACTTTATCCAGACCACTCTGCCCTCGAATCTCTAGATCATGCTGGCTTGCCACACTAAGGCAGGAATCTTAGCCGGACAAATGCTGTCGCGCCTTCCCGAATGTATCGGGGCTTCGGGGGATAGGGCTTAACCAGCGCAACCTTAAGGAAGGAAATAAATAATATTAACTAGGATAACACTTCGCTCAGTCAGAAATATTGGCCAGACAAATGCATACGGCAGTCATTCTTAGCTCATTACGTCTTCTTAGGGCACATGATTCTCGGACCCAATGATCACTTACTCCATGGTGTACAGGGTGGTCATTGGATCTGATTAGCTTAACCTTCGGGAATTATTATAATGAAGAGCTTTCAATTGCTGCTTCGTTTTCGAAAATCAGAAATACAGGTAGTCTACAAGGAATGGGTTATTGTAATTTATTACTATATAGCCAGACACTTTTGCACAGATTTAAAATATTTCATTGTGAGGATATATCGCAAGTAGTATTTTAAAATCTTAAGAAAATAATCAAAATCCTAGTTTTCTTACATATTCGGTTGTGTCGAAAATATTGAGAATCTTCGAGCATGAATCACTTTGTAACTTTCACCAGTTACCTTTTTTTCAGTTATGTTCAAGCAAATACTCAAACTGGACAAGAGTTTGGGACGACGAACAAAAAAATCCTTACAAATACAAAGGAAATCAATGGATAGGATACGATGATGAAAAGTCTATCAGGAAAAAGGTAAGAACACATCATAATTCTGATTATTACTGTTCCTCACTACGAGTATAGAACAATTGTAAACTCAACCATGTTAGGAAGAACCTTATGAAACGTGAAGAGCATAGTCCTCAAATCGGGTGGAAGAGGGGGCTACTCTAATGAGCTACTACAACCTAGCGGATGATAATTTTAAGTAAACTTTCACCACTGATCAAGGGTTTTTTTCGCAATGTGAATGGCTCGTATCATGATAGATGACAAGTGACAGATTTATATTTCTAAGAAACGTACATGTTCATACTAGGAACGTTCAAAGCTGTAACAAAACTAAGTACAAACAAAAAAATACATCAGAACTGACACTGAAAAAAATGAGATGACTAAATATAAATCGAGTGTCAGGTAATAATAAAAACCAGTAAATATCAACATTGTGCACTCACATCTGATAACACAAATACAGCTTTAACGCAATATTGATATTTGATGTATGTCTTTTGAACTATTAAGTTCAATGTCCTGTATGCTATTCCTGTTAAAAAAATCTGTCTTATAATTCACCCAATAAATTTACTGTAGGGGCGTAACAGATGTTTCTGAGTTTGTCAGCGACACAAATGTAAAATTATTGATTTGTTTGAAGGTGATTGACAATGTTTCATCATGAATTTCATTATTTCAGACTTCAATTGACTGATATTATATAAAATGATCTGAAACCTTGGAAGAACCAATGAAAAAGGAGAAATAAAAAAGAATAACTCAAAATAACAATTATATTAAGCAAAAAAACCTGAAATGAAATAAGAGTGAAATAAAATACAAGTAAAAATATAACAATTGAACAAAAATTAAAAATAAATAGTTAAGAGATTCCAAGCCAAGTTAATTCACGACGTTTCGAGTGTTAGTATCCACACACGTCTTCTGGTAATTACTGGACTAATTCCTCCGACAGATGACTATTTATGGGTCATTTGAGTACTTTCACTAATCTCCGCTTTCCTTTTTCCGCTTCACCGGTTTAGTGGTAGATGGCCGTTTGGCGGAAGTTGGCTATTTTTCGCTTGATTGTGGGTTTCCATATGTTGGGTATCTCGACGCTAGCTTGGCTGAATACATTGTTGGACAACATGTATGCGGCTTCTTTGAATTTCCTCCTAAACCAATGTTCCTCCCTGTGTATAATCTCAGCTTGGGACCACTCGAAGTTATGTTGATGGGTCCAAACATGCTCTGCTATTCCTGATTTTCTGGTTTCCCCTCGCTGTGTGTGTTTCTAGTGCTCGGCAATGCGAATATTCAATGTCCTCTTAGTTTCACCGGATTAATCACAGGGAGTTCGATAACTGCAATTCTTGGAATCGCAGTCCGCGTTTGGTGGCCTGGTTTTCGTGAGGCTGCTACGGATAGTGTAGAGAAGTGCGAGCACTGGTTGTGGCGGCTTCTCTTCCTTGCGAAGCTCCTACTGTCTTTCAGCCAAAGTCTGTTCCACCATCGCTTTGGCGTAGCCATTCCGTTGAAAATCATTTTTGATGATGTCTAGTTTTTGCTCTGGACCTTCCTTCGTATTACAGAGTCCAAAAACACGGTCTAATAGAGTCTTGATGATTCCTCTTTTAGTCGATTGATGGTGGTTGGATTCGTGGTCCAGATACTGTCCCGTGTGAGTGGGTTTTCGGTGTGAGTGTCGGTCCTGTTCACCAATACGTCTAAGAATGGCAATTCGTTGTGGACTTCCTTCTCTATTGTGAAAATGATGAAAGGTCTTACACTATTGATGTGTTTCAGGAAGGCGTCTAGTTCAGTATTCTCATGGTTTCATATTCATATTATGAACCAGACACGAGGTTTCTTGTGGGCTTCTTCAATGACCAAGAGTTTCAAACCACTCCATATATATGTTGACTATGACTGATGAAAGTGGCGATCCCATTGGCAGTTCCTCATCTTGTGTAAAGAATTCGTCCTTCAGTTGGAAATAACAGTTTCGTTCACAGCATCCTAGTAATTTCATAATTACTTATAATTACTACTGAAAATGCCATAGCTGATTTCCTCGAAAAAACAGTGCGAGCGTTAGACGAATCATCAAAATGTCTGGCTATTTTTCTTGACCTTGCTTAGACCTTTGATACGGTCTCACATAATATCCTTTTAAAAAAATTACAATACTATGGAATTCGAGGTATCGCATTGGACCTGATGCTAAACTATTTGAAATACAGAACACAAAAAGTAAAGATTGGAAGAGAAGTGAGCTCAGGATTGACTGTCAAAATGGGTGTACCACAAGGGACTATTCTGGGGCCATATCTTTTTTTTTTTGTTTATATGAATAATATAGTTCAAATACGAGACTTGCCGTCCAACATAATATGCTATGCCGATGACACAGTTCTGATATTCACAGGCACAAGCTGGGAAGAAATAAAATCAATCGCAGAAGCAGATCTAAGAAAATTGCAAATTTGGCTGGTCCATAACCTACTCACCCTAAACGTCTCTAAACTAAATTCATACTTTTTACACCAACGGTTAATACACAAAAATCATATTCAGAAAAAAGAAACAGTATTCCACAAAATTACTATATGAAGAAACAAAAATCCTACCAATCAGTCTTTTGTATGTTCATCAATGTATAATTCGAGTTCACACAACTAAATACTCACTTCGAAGCAGATCTGTCCAACCAACCAGACAAACTAGTAATGAAGAATTAGCAATACATACATTTAGAAAAGCTATAACCCAGAGAACGTTCTATTTTTCGGTCCAAAATTTTACAATGAAATACCAGTACATTTCAAAAAAAATTGACCAACTAAGAAATTTTAAAACTGAAACAAAGAACTATATCCTGAAACACAAGGAAACTTTCTATAAAATACAACGATAGTGAATACACCCATCATTTGCTGTTTTCCCTGTCCTATCTTTCAGAATTTTGGTAAAAATACGTGCACACATTAAATATACAGGTGTTTTGAAGTTATGCTTCGTTATTTATTTATTTTTTTATCTTGTAAATCTTTGCCCGCCGAAATTTTTAAGATAATTTTATGTAAAATACTAATATATTTTTTTAGAGAAGCCCTGTATAAAACACACACACAGGCAATTATGCCTAGGTATGTTTTACTCAGAGAGCAAATCTAACCCCCATTTTGTAAAAAAAAATTGTAATATTTTTTTTTGTACATGCAATACATGAATGAACTTGAATACAAAAAAATACTGGTTGCTCACCTTCTTATTCACTTGAAAACAATTGAACCTGGCATATTGACAGAATATTTCAGAATGTTTTCATTCAAAGTAGTAGCTGAACTTTTATTGTAAGAAATAAAGAAAAGAAATACTGATGACAGATAAAAAACAGAATGGAAGTGAAGATTTCTGGAAAATCATTCATTTCATCTTGATATATTTGTCGGAAATAAAAGAATTAATATAAAGTCAATCCTCAATTTGTTGTAACTCCATATCATCTTTTTCAATAGGGTGTCTAATAGGATGTTTAATTACAGTGTATTGATTCCTTACCCATATTTGCATACACTTATCAAGAATTTTGTTTCAGGCTCAGTATGTAGTTTCTCAGAAATTGGCTGGTATCATGATCTGGCAGATTGGGCAAGACGATGTATCAGGAGACTGTGGAGAAAAACAAATACTTCTGAAGATAATAAATGAAGAATTGAAACAAAAACCATAGAATGAAATGTTCGATGAAATCATATTGACTGACATTTCAAAGATAACTTCAATGAAACTAAATATTTGTCATTTTTATCCATCACAAGTTAGTTCACAATTTTTTGACATTTGTCGAATTACAGGAAAAGTTTATTATCAAATCAATGTCTTCATTAAAATTTCTCATAGAAGACAGTTCACTCAGGTATTTTTCTTGTTATTTATTTTGTACAGTATTATTGTATTTATTATTGTTTTAATAGTCAATAAATAGTCTATTCGGAATCAATCAATGAATTATCCTTCAGCCCAACTTCCATTTCAGTAGTTTCTAAATCTATTGATTTATTCATCTATTGATGAGTCACAAAAAAGATGCTGCCAACTTGATTGAGAGTTGAGAAATGTCTTCACTTGTTTTCAGAAAACAATTTATTGGATTTGTCATTCACAATATAAACCGAAACAGTAGGCGATTCCAAAAACAAATGTGTTCTCCATGGAAAAAGTTGAGAATCTATCCCTTTCAGCGTCCCAGAGATATCTGCAGGTAGCCAAGACATCTTGGGAGTTTTTTTCGCCTATAGTTACGATGCACAATAATTTATACCTGAAAGAGAAAAAGAAATTGATACCAAGTTGGTGAAATTCAAATCGAATGTTTTAGAGAAGTCAGAAAGGTCGAAAAGTGAGTGCCCCACGGTTTGAACCATCCACAGAAATTGTCACGTTCCGAAGTCTGTTCTTCTTTGCTTTTGCGCAACAAAATGTATCCTTTTTCGGATCAGATCGTCACGTGTGATGAAAAGTGGATCCTCTCCGATAGCAGAAGATGTTCAGGACAGTAGTTGGACAATGACAATGGACAATGGACAATGGATAATGATGAGAAACCCAGGCACTTCCCAAAGGCGAAAACCCACCAAAAAAGTCCATGGTTACTGTATGGTGGTCTTGCCACCGGGCCAAACCAATCACGACAGAGTCCTTTTGTGAGGGAATCGACGAAATGTACCGAAAATTGCATCAGCTGCAGCCGGTACTGGTCAATAGAAGTGGTCCGATTCTGATCCAAGACAACACCCGTCTTCACGTTTCACATATCACCGTCCGAAAATTAAGCGAATTGAGCGTCGAAGTTCTGCCTCATCCACCATACTCCCCAGACCTGAATTTCACAAGTTCGGACTTCCATTGTCTACTATATAAAATGATTTGACAAAGGAAGAAACTCACCTCAGTTTTCTGTCTAGAGCGAGAAACAACAACATCAACCCCAAAGGTTTTCTGCTGAAATCGCCAATCCCAGGAGAGAGAGCTAAACGCATATTGGAACGCGCCAGCCGAGCACTGATAAGGTCTCAAATCAATTATCACCGTTGGAAGAGGTCAACTTTGTTGCAGGATGCCACGGAACGATTTGAAGAGATAAGAAGAGAGACATTGGAAGATGATCATGGACCAATCTTTGCCAAGATTGAAAGCACGTGCTT